TTCATTTCCGGCTGACGTTTATTTTCTTTCCGGCTCTTTGAAACGTTGCGGCAAAATGTCAAGGAAAAGCACAGAGTTTTTTAAATGAACTGACAATGAAGTAGAGTTGCTGCTTCGAGTAACACATGAATACAAAGTTGCAAAAGAGAGTGAAAATGTAGACTGGGAGATGTGCCAAAACAAATACGCCGATATACTGGACCGCTTTACAGAACAGTATCCTGCTGATTACGCTGCTTACCCTCACAGTAAGGACGACATCACTAAAATCATACTCACAACGAAATAAAAGTAAACGAATTAGTAACATGACTGAGTGTCACATGACAAAAAATGCGTCATCGTTTTCACTCCGTTTTCATAGTCTACACTACGCACGAAAACGGCGTTTTCAAATTTATCCACTTTGGAGAGCGTTTTCAAAAAGATACGTTTTTGTTTCCAAAAAACGCGTCTCAGTGTGGATGGAAGGGCAAAACGGAGACAAAAATATGCGTTTTTAAATGAAAACGCATTAGTGTGGACATGGCCTTTTAGACTTACTTTGCTTCCTGTAAATAGCGAATGCGTTCTTGGCGTGACGCAGCTGGCTCTTAAAGGGAATGGGAGATGAGACTCTGATTGGTTTATTCTCAAAACACACCTATAACTCATTAAGAAAATAAACTCAACCCTTTTAGACCATGCGCCGCGGCGCAAGGCAGATTTCCCGTCCTTAAATAAGCAAAACACGTCCTGACACGCCCTGAAAGCGTTTGCGCCCTTCGTTTTTCGCTCTGCGCATGGACCGTTAAAATAGAGCCCTAAGGCTTTTGTCCACTCATCTTGTTGGATCTCCGCATGATGTCTAGCTTTTGAGATCTTTACATATTTGAAACAATAATTTCTTCGCATGTGTTATTGGAGATAATCCTATAGTCTACAGTTGCTCTGTACGAATTGGCGGAAGCACCTCGGAATAAGGAGCGTTGTCTAATTTCGCAGTGTGTTTCTCGCCTGCCGGAGCTGTATTTCTAAACAGAGCTGCTCTCTGGGTTTATAAATAGGCAGCATGAGCTCTGGCTGTGTCCCTGGGATGAGATTTGCTGTCCTCCGGGCCGTGCAGATCGCCATTACTTATGCCTGACAAGCTTAGCCTGTGATGTGGCTGCGCCGGCCTGTCTGAGTGACATTAGGCCACTGCTGTTTGCACTGCAGGCGGGGAAATGTTTGAGAAAGCCTGTCCCGGGGTCAGTATGGAGCCTCTCTTAGAGCAAAGGAATGCAGAAAAAAATGCTGAACCGTACACTTAGACTGACCTCCCGGCTCTTGGGATTTTACAGGAGTAGACTGATTTCATTTTATATTTGAAAAAGCGGTTCACACAGAAAGAGAAACATATAATGAAGACATATGCATGAGGGACAGACTGGTTGGCTAAACTGATTATCCTAATTCTGATTATTTATAGTAAGGGCTGCACGGTGGCTCTGTGGGTAGCACATTCACCTCACAGCAAGAAGGTCGCTGGTTTGAGCCTCGGCTGGGTCAGTTGGTGTTTGCATGTTCTCCTCTTGTTCGTGTGGGTTTCCTTCGGGGGCTCCGGTTGGACTTTCCCCCACAAGTCCAAAGACATGTGGTATAGGGGAATTTTTGTAGGCTGAATTGTCCGTGGTGTATGTGTGTGAATGGGTGTGTGTGGATGTTTCACAGTGATGGGTTGCAGCTGGTTTAACACAATATTTAACGTTGAACAAGTTTGACGCTAACTGACGCACATTTGCATTTAAAGAAGATGTATTTTTACTCACACTCAAACATTTGATATGCTATAATGAATGATATTTTATGCTGTAACTTCACAAACACATTTTAAGAACACAGCTATTTATCATTTACATTTACATTTCGTCATTTAGCAGACGCTTTTATCTAAAGAGACTTACAAATGAGGACAAGGAAGCAACTTACACAACTATAAGAGAAGTGAAGTGAAGAAGTGCTGTAGGCAAGTTTCAGGTATGTAAAGTGTAAATTTTTATTTATTTATTTATTTATTTTTATTTTTTTATTACAGTTAGCGGTGGAGTCAGAGACGCAACTGCAGATTAGGAAGGAAAGTGGAGACTAAATAGTTGAGTTTTTAGTGGTTTCTTGAAGACAGCGAGTGACTCTGCTGTTCTGATGCAGTTAGGGAGTTCATTCCACCAACTGGGCAGATTGAATGCGAGAGTTCGGTAAAGTGATTTCTTCCCTCTTTGGGATGAAACTACGAGGCGACGTTCATTCACAGAACGCAAGTTTCTGGAGGGCGCATACATCTGCAGAAGTGAGAGCAGATAAGAAGGAGCAAAGCCAGAAGTCGCTTTGTAAGCAAACATCAGAGCTTTGATTTTGATGCGAGCAGCAACTGGCAGCCAGTGCAAATGGATGAGCAGCGGAATGACATGTGCTCTTTTAGCTTCATTAAAGACCACTCGTGCTGCTGCGATCTGGAGCAGCTGAAGAGGCTTGATAGAGTTAGCTGGAAGCCCGGCTAGTAGAGAGTTGCAATAGTCCAGTCTTGAGAGAACATCATATGACCCATCCATAGTGTACACCAGGGGCGCACCAAGGAGCCACCCCTGGGTAAACTCTGGCCACCCCAATATGATTTTGCTGTTGATATTATTAATTTAAATGTACTTATGTAAATTCCCCAATATTTAAATAAATAAATAAATCAAATGCAGCCACTAAATTATTGTTGGTGCTGGTTGACTGCCCCTCCCCAGAGGGGCATTATGCTCACATTATGCGATCCGAACCGTGCCCAGACCCGTTTCCTGGATCATTTGAAAAGTGTGAGTGCGTTGAATCGGGCTCAGGCATGATTCACTTGGCCGGCCCTGGCCCGGTTAGAAGAGGTGAGCCTGAGCGCGGTTCACTTGGACTTTGGCGCGGTACGCTTGTGTGTGAGTGCAAAACGTGCCTGAGCCCGAAACTGAAAGCAAGACGTGACTTTTACGGGACTGTTTCATATGGATTTATTAATCATTTTTACTGTTTAGTGAATGCAAACTGCCGTAGTTTATTAAAGACGCAAACCTCTCACTGCACGACAGCTGCACCTTCAGCAGACCTCCTCATTCCCGCAGCACGAGGGCTTTATGATTGTTTATGAGTGTCAAAAGCGGCGGATCTGTTCGGCGAAATATTTGACTGTGTATAACTGCATATCCAACGATGTAACTGAAGAAATCTCCACTGTGCTGAGCGAAAGCGCTTACTGAACAGCGCAGCGTCGATGACGTAAGCATGCCCAGGCCTGAATGTAATGTGAGTGCTTGACGTCGGGGGAGACGGGAGGGGGGACAAGCGTGCTTTGGCCCGGTTCAAGGCAACTGTAGATAGTGTGAGTACACCCTTAGTCATGGGCATTCTGGGCAATTGCCCAGAGGGTCATCTTGCTGGGGGCGACACACAGAGACAGTGCAATAAAAAAAATAATAAAACATCCCCTAGTGAAAGCATTGGGATACGATTTACTTTATGCAAGTGTGTTAACTTAGAGTGGTAACCCAAGAATAAAAACATTAGGGGCCGTTCACAGTTGGCATATTTTGCACACGCTCTCCACGTGCAACCAAAACAACGCAAACTGACGCATGCACGCAGAAAACCATTCCCATGCGCCTCACACATTCATGTGGGAAACCCGGTTGTTTGCATGCACACCGATAACATACGCGCTGCTCATTCGCCGTGAAACCGGAGTAACAGCCTTTTGTGCAGAGGTGTCTGCATTCAGCGAGTTTTGCAAGTCGACAAAGCTAAAGTTTATATAATATTACGATTCTTTACTTTCACTAAGCATGGCTAAAAAGCAGAAAGGAGGAATAATGCGTCAGGGAGCTAAGACTTCATAACATTAATTCTCGGCCATGAGTCAGGTCTAAGACAACAGATAATTCTATAAAACAGATGTTATTTGTATTCTTTAGAATTGTCGTAACTAATATTCATGCAAAAGATTTCTTAAGTGATCTTAGTGTAACCCCGCTGGTCCTTCACCAACCAACCTGCTTCGAGTTGGTATCAAACCGGCGACCTTCCGCATGGGAGTCGGTTGCTCTAACAAGAAGCTAAAGACCATGGCCTCTACCGTCTGTCGCTAGAGCACCTATAGAGGTCAGAGGAGTGAGGTTTACCTGCACAGCACTTGCTAGCTGGCCTCCGTTACACTCACACCCCTAAACCTCACTCCTATCCGGGTCACGGCACCAATGTAACCCCCACCTGTCCTACTCCACCCAAGCCACTCCGAGCTGGGCTCGAACCGGCGACCTTTTGCATGGGAGTCGGTTGCTCTACCAAGGAGGCTAAAGACCATGGCCTCTAGCGTCTGTCGCCAGAGGACCTATAGAGGTCAGAGGAGTGAGGTTTACCTGCACAACACTTACTAGCTGGCCCCTTTTACACTCACCCCCCTAAACATCACTCCCATCAGGGTCACGGCACCAATGCAACACCGCCGGTCCTACGCCACCCAACCCGCTCCGAGCAGGTATCGAACCGTCAACCTTCCGCATAGGAGTCGGTTGCTCTAACCAGGAGTCTAAAGACCATGGCCTCTAGTGTCTGTCGCTAGAGCACCTTTAGAGGAGTGAGGTTTACCTGCACAGCACTTACTAGCTGGCCTCCGTAACATTAGCATATCACTCCAGTTGTTATACGGTTTTCCAGTCCCATTAAGGGTTGATTTCTGTTATTTATTTAGAATAATACTTGTATATTAATATTAACAATAATTGTATTGACAGCACACACACACCTTCAATAGACAGCAATAGCAATGTAATATTTACCTTAAGGTGCATCAATAGAAGAAGCTGTATCAGTGATACTGTGGCTCAAAAAGGAATATGGAAAACTGTATTGTGAGTGTGTGTGTCTATAGTAATGCCTTTTGTTCAGTTTGTTTTATTTGTTTTATTAATTAATTAATTATTCTTGAATTAAAAATAAACATGTGAGATTACCTTTAAGGTAGTAGGGCTTCTTTAGGCCGTCATGGTGCAGACGCACCTTCCGCTCTTCTGCATATCTGTGCCTCAAAGCATCTTCATGCAAATGCAGCCTGTCTCTCCTGACTGCTTCAGATGCCATCTTTTCCCTCAAAGCTTTGGTCCGCTCTGTTTCCAGTGCTATGGCCTTCTCCAGTAGTGACAGGTTGCCTTTGGTCATGTCAAAAACATCCTCCGAGCGGTCTGAGGTGACGGAAGTGGTGTCTTCATCGCAGTCCTGGAAGCCCTTGTGCTCTGCGGCGCAGCTGGAGAAAGTCTTGGATCGTGGGCTGAGCTGCTCTTCCAGCTTCATCAGGTTCACCATGTCGGAGTAATTCCTCTCCAGGACACGACACTCCTCAGAACTCTGATGCTGATGCTGCTGCTGCTGTTGGGTCTCTTGGTAAATATGAAGAGCCTGCTGGAAGGGATGCATGCGATTAAATGGCAAACAGTTAACTAACAAGAAGAGTTGTTTCAACCAAGGCTCATTCTGGAAACGTAGCCCCACGGACTTTTCTGGAGACCGCAAAATACGTCCCAGGAGGAACGTATTTGTGCAGTTTTTGTTTTCGCAAATCCAACTCTCGCGCCCGAGCTGTTCTCGCATAAAAAGCCGCCGGAGGCCACTGTCGAGCGATAGGCCGACCCAGCCACCCACCTCCTCCTCCTTCTTCCCTAAGCCCAAGCGACGTTTTACGAAAGCCGTGCAGAAAAACAAAAGCCCTTGTCCGATTTTGACCGCGTTTTCACCGCATTATCACACTGTTAAGAACTTGTTCGCTTTATTTTTTGAATTCTGTTTTTTGTCTTATCTGATTTCTGGAACCGCTCTTCCCCGGACTCGAACCCAGTTGTCGAACTCCTCCTCCTCCGAGCCTCCGCTCCGCCGACGTAACACGACGAGCTAACCGGACAAACTGGTTGCGGCAGAAAAGCCCTCCACACGTAGGAGGTGAGCCATCAGCCTAGCCGGCGAGCGCAAAGAGGAGCGGCATCACACTGCCCCATAGCGTTCGCTTGAAAAAAACGAAATGCGGCCATACGTACCTCCGGCCACGTAAATCGCAGTCTCCAGAAACGTTCGCGGGGCAACGTTTTCAGAATGAGCTTAGGTTGACTGGTTTCCTTATTAATTGGTAACAGCATTGCTAAAGTATGACTATTTGGTGGTAACCAAATAGATTAATGAAACTCGATAGCTGTTAGCATTCATATTGATTTTAAACATGTTTTATTAGTTTATAAGGCACCGCTTGCATCATGTTTTGATTGTGCATTGATTACGTTTTGATTCATACTTCATAATCATGTTGAAATCATAAATAATTATGGGTAACACTTTATAATAACTACACACTATGAATCATTTATTAAGCATTAGCATCTAGTGAGTTCATTATCTGTTAAGCGTTAACTCTACATTAATAAACGTTAGTAAGCAGTTTATAACTGCAACTACAAATGCTTTATTGTTGACTTATAACCACATTCATAATGTACTTAATAATTGTACTTGCATACTTTGTTAATGATTTATTTTTCATTACTAAATTAAGTATCGCAATATTTACGAACCAAGCGTGGTTGGTTGTTTTTAAGATAATTTAGAATGAGTTAGTTAATTATTAATAAACTATTAAAATACATTTTTATACAGTTAAAGTCAGAATTATAAGCCCCCCTAAATTATTTGCCCTCCTGTTTAATTTTTTCCCCAATTTAACATTTCATTTTACGTTTCAGATGATAAATCCACTAGAGGGCGCTACATGTTTACATATTTGTGAATATGAAATAAATTACTTATTATAGATTTTGTATATTTCACATATTGTACGTTAGCCCACTAAGGTTGCAAGTTCCGTTGTTACAAACATAGTTCGTTAATTTGATGTTTCCCAAATCCATCGTTCCAATGAACATTCGCAAACTGCTTCGCAAATGTGTATGCTTGTAACTACACCTCTGGAGCTGTAGTTAGAAACATAGTTTCTGGCTGTGTTCTATTCTCAGTTATCTCCCCTATGCCCTATTCATTTAGAACATTTAAACTTGAAATTATTTTAAATAAAGTATTAAGTTCATCTATCTTAGGTGTAATTTGCTTTCAGACTATTTTTACAGTTCAGTTTTAGCAATCTTCATGTTTACAATTGCGCTCGCTTCGCAGTGCACTTTGAAAACATTGATGCCATCTGGAACACAGCCGTGGCTCATGGCGAAAGTTATAGGTGACCTATTATTTAAAAGCAGAATTTACGTTATATCTCTAAAGCTTGTAAAAACAAAAAACACAGCATACGCAAATACTTTTAATGTATAGTGGGTTATTTATAAAGTATCTGTACTGTATATGACATGGGCCTGTTGATTAGAACTTTCTGCAGTGGTTTACATGTGTCAAATTGTAAAAGCAGAGTTTATTTAAAATATAAATAAACAATATCCTACTTAATAATAATAATAATAATCATCATCATCATTTATATTATTAATATTATTATTAAAGTAGATTTTTTAAATTTCCTAATAAATAATAAATATTAAATTACATTTATTAATAAATCGCCTCATTATTTATTTATTGATATGATTATATATATAATATTAGAATAGGTGTTAGCTTTTGTAAGTGATTTTATGTTTTAAAATAGAATATGTAATGTTCTCAATAATGTTAGTAAAGGAAACGCATATATTTTAATTAATATGGAAAGCGAGTGCATGTTTTTAACAAAATGAATATTGGATTTTTATTTTAAATGTGTGTACGTGTAAAACAATACAATATGTAAAAAGAAATGATGGGGTTCATCTCTCATCACTATGGGCGTTTTACGTTATAACTAACGTGGTTTAAGCGATGGATCTGCGACAGAGAAACTAGGAGTTTTGGGAAACACTCGTCACTACATCGTTCTTTTCCCAAACGATGCATCGTACTATAATAGTTCAGCCACGAGTTACGTCGTTGTGTGTGGAAAACGCACTGTTGATCAGCTAGCGAACAACTGAGCTAAACCCTTTCCTAAACCCAACCAATAGTGTTTTCAAAAGCAGACGCGAGAAAAAAGTACACTGCCGCCACATAGTTTAGCTTGATTTTACATCTCTTTTGTGGAAAAACGTGCTACATTGGACTTGAACCCGAGCACTCTGCAGCACAAGTAAAACACCATGTGGAGGTTGACCATTCGGAGAAAAATAGGTGATGCAAACATATTAAATTACAAATCATAGACAACGTTAAGTGTATGTATTTGGTGCTGTTCAAAGAAGTGCATGAATATGCTCCCCTATTTGTCGAACGTATGTGTGTGCGATTTCCAATAGTTGTGTCTCTGTGTTGCTCAGATCTCAAAATTCAGATTTTCTTTGAATTCTTAACATTTATAAAGCAAAATGTTGATGTTTTGGAGCTCAGAGGTTAAACCAACACAATCTAACAGCAATTCGTAAGATTTAGTGGCTAATTCGTATGAATTCGTACGATCTAATTCGTACAATTTAGTACGGCTTGCTCATCCCCCAATGATGGTTGGGTTTAGGGGTGGGGTTAGGTGCCACGCCTACTTTTTAAAAATCGCACAATTTTGTACGACTGAACTCAAACGAATTCACATGAATTAGCCACTAAACTGGCAAAACTACACACTACTTACATTTTCTTGTGAGAGCAGGCTGGTTAAACCTCACAGTTACAGTACCCCCCCCCCCAACCCCACCCCCCCCCCCCCCCAAAATATCAAACAACATGCATACCTGCTGGTTATTGTTGAGATGCTCGATTGGCTTGGTCTCGCTTAGCTTGCGTGCCAAGTCAAAGCACTGGTTGCGAAGACACTCCAAACTGCTGAGACAGACCTCCTCGTCACTCTTCTCAACCATCTGACCATTAGCAGTGGGTTTACCACAGTGTCCATTACCCGTGGACCCATTTCCGTTGCCACAGTCTGTATTCTCACTTCCGTCCTCCTGATAGTGATTCTCATGGAGGTTTTCTAAGAGCGAGACTCCGTGACCCTGCGCCAGGAGCTTCAGAGAGTCCACAGTCTCCCGCACCACATCGCTGTTCACATCCAGACTCAGCTCCCCTTTCTTTGAGCCCTCCTCATCCTCATCCTCCTCTTCATCTTCATCCTCCTCCTCATCCTCCTCCTCGTCCTCTTCTGCGCTGTTCGAAGAGTTGCTGTTCATCTCTGACTCGGTCATGGCCAGGTAAGCAGCATCTTCTGCAATCTTGCCCAGGTTAAGCAGAGACTTGGCCACCAGTTCGTCATAGTTGTCATATTCATCATTGTTGTTGTTGTCCTTCTCCATGGACGGGCTTTGTCTACTGGGGCTGCAATTCATATGGTCACTCTCTGTGAAAGAGAAACGTTTGTAATGAAATGATTGAGGTGACCAATCAAATCAAAGAGAGCAGGCTATAGTGTTGATTAGCTTCTAAAATGCAAGAGTGTGAAAACATCCAAATGAATCCTTTTCTCAGATGGTGATGTATTGTAATTACCACTTTGAAAAATCTTTTTAATTAATAATTTGATGCAGTGCACTCATCGTGTTGACCAGGGGTACCCAAACTTTTCAGCCCGTGACCCCCAAAATGACAATGCCAGTGACGTGCGACCCCCAATATCCTCTGAGGTGGTTGTAAATACAGAAATCTTGCATGCAATGGCGCACACACACCAACAGACCCAAGTCTATTCTTGGTTAAATTTTTAAATGTATGTCAGTGCTGTAAATGGGAGAGAAAGTTTAACCTGGTGTTATAAAATCAGTCTGCTGCATCTGACGCTATTGCTGTGTCTTTAACGTAATGTGATTACCCAATTGGTCGCAATTCAATAGAACTAGTAACTAGAAGCTACTATAGTAACTATATAGTGTATAGTAACTACATAGTGTATAGTAACCATATAGTGTATAGTAAATATATAGTGTATAGTAACTATATATAGTAACTATATAGTGTATAGTAACTAAATAGTGTATAGTAACTACATAGTGTATAGTAACTACATAGTGTATAGTAACCATATAGTGTATAGTAAATATATAGTGTATAGTAACTATATATAGTAACTATATAGTGTATAGTAACTAAATAGTGTATAGTAACTAAATAGTGTATAGTAACTACATAGTGTATAGTAAATATATATAGTAACTATATAGTGTATAGTAATTACATAGTGTATAGTAACTACATAGTGTATAGTTACTATATATAGTAACTATATAGTGTATAGTAACTACATAGTGTATAGTAACCATATAGTGTATAGTAACTATATAGTGTATAGTAACTATATATAGTAACTATATAGTGTATAGTAACTAAATAGTGTATAGTAACTACATAGTGTATAGTAACCATATAGTGTATAGTAAATATATAGTGTATAGTAACTATATATAGTAACTATATAGTGTATAGTAACTAAATAGTGTATAGTAACTAAATAGTGTATAGTAACTACATAGTGTATAGTAAATATATATAGTAACTATATAGTGTATAGTAATTACATAGTGTATAGTAACTACATAGTGTATAGTCACTATATATAGTAACTATATAGTGTATAGTAACTACATAGTGTATAGTAACCATATAGTGTATAGTAAATATATAGTGTATAGTAACTATATATAGTAACTATATAGTGTATAGTAACTAAATAGTGTATAGTAACTAAATAGTGTATAGTAACTACATAGTGTATAGTAACTATATATAGTAACTATATAGTGTATAGTAATTACACAGTGTATAGTAACTACATAGTGTATAGTAACTATATATAGTAACTATATAGTGTATAGTAACTACATAGTCTATAGTAACCACATAGTGTATAGTAACTATATAGTGTATAGTAACTATATATAGTAACTATATAGTGTATAGTAACTATATAGTGTATAGTAACTACAAAGTGTATAGTAACTATATAGTGTATGGTAACTACATAGTGTATAGTAACTACATAGTGTATAGTAACTATATAGTGTATAGTAACTATATAGTATATAGTAACTATAAAGTGTATAGTAACTACATAGTGTATAGTAACTATATAGTGTATAGTAACTATATAGTGTATAGTACCTATAAACGACAATTTTTTTCTCTTCAGTTGGTTATGGATAAAATATGGTAATTGTTATGGTTTAATAAAAATAATTAGATTTTTGGAAATCACCAGGCGACCCCCCTTCATTGTCCCGCGACCCCTCGGGGGGTCCTGACCCCCGCTTTGAGAACCACTGGTGTCGACGAATGTTTTACATTCAATCCACTCACTCACTTTCCTTCAGCTTCGCCCTGATTTATCAGGTGTGAACACAGCAGAATGAACCACCAATTACTCTGACATATGTTTTATGCGGCAGATGCTCTTCTACTAATTCATGAACCCTCAGTGCTGGAAAACACCCATACAGTAATTCTGTCATAATTTCCAACTTGAACATTGTAAGTTGTAATATTTTTGCACATAGTGGTTCAAAAAGACCTAGTGGGACCTGGACCTACAGTAGTCGATACTTTGAAGTGAATCAAAAATGTTTTTTAGAATTGTCCAAGCACAAGAATAGGTGTTGTTCAAAAGCTTTAGAACTGCTTTGATGAAAGGTGATGATCCACTTTAAATGTTTACTACTGTATAGTGGGACTATTTTAATGTGCATTTATTACCCTGATGAATTACCATCTAACCCAGACAATTACCTACTAAGCCCAATCATACCTGCCAATACTCACGTTTTTCCCGGGAGTCTCCCATATTTCAGACCCATCTCCCACCACCCTCCCGTTTTGTTATTTCTCCCAGAACACTCCTGTAATTTCACCCTGCCCCTGGTCCTCAGCTTTATTAGTACAGTCTGTAGCACCCCTGCGTCGCCAACTTTGGTTTAGTATCCGATCGCAGCGGCTGCCCAAAACCCAGTCCATAGTACAGTTACTATCATAGTACAGTTACTTACTAACCCAGTTCTCAACTGTGTTATTCAGACAAACACCCAACACCTCTCCTCGGTTTCCTAGAACTTCAGAGACAAATGTTGGCAGGGATGAAACGAATAAACATGTCCATAACCATAATCAGCTCTTAACCCACCAGTACTACTAAACCAGTCCCTAACCTTACACCTTTTTGCCAATGAATCAATTTGATTTTCAATCTTATTCTTCAATCATTCATTCATTTTCTTTTTTCGGCTTAGTCCCTTTATTAATCCGGGGTCGCCACAGCGGAATGAACCACCAACTAATCCGGTATATGTTTTACGGAGCGGATGCCTTTCCAGCCGCAACTGGGACAATTTAGCCAACCCAATTCACCTGTACCGCATGTCTTTGTACTGTGGGGGGAACCGGAGCACCCGGAGGAAACCCTCGCGAATGCAGGGAGAACATGCAAACTCCCCACAGAAATGCCAAATTACCTAGCCGAGGCTCAAACCAGCGACTTTTTTGCTGTGAGGCGACAGCATTACCTACTGCACCACCGCATCGCCCTATTCTTCAATCATCAATAGAAAATGTAAAATAAGCAACACTGTTTTCTCAGTACTTGTGTAATCTATTGCATAGATTATCTTATCTACTTGCAACATCAGAACGCTGAACAGATCAGAGCAACGCTTTTGACTGGTTGTTAATGAGCCAGTGTCTATGAAAGCACTAAAAAGCTGCCCATTTAGTGAGCATGCAGTTGACAACAGTCTGCTTACTAGATTTAAAGACAAGCCAATATCTTTGGTAAGGAAACACAGCGGAGAACAGGGGTTAATGCCAATATGAGCGGGAGTGTGATTGTTATTCAGACTGGAAGGCTCTGTCAGGTCTGTCCTGCTATGAGTTTCTGAAGTGGAAGAGACACATCTCACACCTGCCGCTGTCTTCAGCACACATTCAGACCACCAGAACAAACCAGCAAATATTCAGGAGAAAACCAGGTTAAAACAGACCATACTGATGCTGAAGAGGCAAGAACGGCATCTTGCGTGCGATTCAATTACGTTTAAGCTGTTTACGGCAAGCTCTTCATGGCCATTACTTTTGTTATAGCTTTTGTTAATGCTTTTACTAATTATACCAGTTCCAGCCCAGGCTCATTGGAAAAACATGCCTCATTTCAAAATAAAAAAAGTCATTGCTCCAAGTACATCCCTTTGCATTTTCAGATGACAAATCCACTAGAGGGCGCTACTTTTTTATTATTATTACTTTTTTTTTTACAGTTTTTTGCAAATCTGAAACACGTTGCTTTGGGTTTATTTTGTTGTACATTTTAGGTAAATGTTCTTCTTATACATGTCCAGGAGAAGGTGGAGCTTGTCGTACAGATCACCTAGTGCAGTGGTTTTCAAAGTGGGGGTCGGGACCCATCGAGGGGTCGCGGGACAATAAAGGGGGGTTGCCTGGTGATTTCCAAAAATCTATCTATTTTTATTCAACCATAACAATTACCATATTTTATCCATAACCTACTGAAGAGAAAAAAAATTGTTGTTTATAGTTACTATGCACTATATAGTTACTATACACTATACAGTTACTATACACTATGTAGTTACTATACACTATGTAGTTACTATACACTATATAGTTACTATACACTATGTAGTTACTATACACTATACAGTTACTCTACACCAGTGGTTCTCAAACTGTGGTACGTGTACCACTAGTGGTACGCAGGCTTCCTTTTAGTGGTACGCGAAGGAATGAAATATGTCATGTACATGCTACACACATTTTAAAATTTACCAAAAATGATGTATATAATATGTCATATATGACATATAGCTTATATTTCTGAGGTAATCTGCCACGTTTTTTGTAACTGTGCAGAGTTGTAGCTGCTTTACTGGACTTACTTCGCTACTGTATTTCAATACTGCTCATTTTTGTGGTACTTGGAGGGACACATTTTTTCGGAGGTGGTACTTGATGAAAAAAGTTTGAGAACCGCTGCTCTACACTATATAGTTACTATACACTATTTAGTTTCTATACACTATGTAGTTACTATACACTATATAGTTACTATACACTATGTAGTTACTATACACTATACAGTTACTATACACTATGTAGTTACTATACACTATATGGTTTCTATACACTATGTAGTTACTATACACTATATAGTTACTATACACTATGTAGTTACTATACACTATATAGTTACTATACACTATGTAGTTACTATACACTATATAGTTACTATACACTATGTAGTTACTATACACTATATAGTTACTATACACTATAAAGTTACTATACACTATGTAGTTACTATACACTATATAGTTACTATATATAGTTACTATACACTATGTAGTT